CCAAAGGTCTGACTGAAAGGCAGTGCAATTGGTAAGAGACTTGCCGGGGATTGGAAATGTGGAAACGTTGATTTGTACGTGTCATTTTGGGTCAGTAGGTAGCAATCTTTCCTCTGAGTCAGACGGTTCTTGGCTTAAGCCTAACATCGGGTCTTGAGCTCATAATCTATGCTGACACACTGGTGCACTACTGCATTGTCGGAGGTGCCGATTTCCAAGATATTAAACCCAGTTCTGGCCTGACTGTGCAGATGGATTTTCAAGACCCCATGAAATTATTTGAAAAGAGAAGGGAGTTTCTTCTCCCCCAGTGTCCCAGCCAACAATCCTCCAGATTAATCCTCCAGAATAATCCGCTAGTCATCTCATAGCTGTTTCTGGGATCTCGCTGGGGTAATGGGTACCGGCTTTTGCCTTCAAATATAGTCACTGCACTTGACAGCACCCACCTGCGAGGCGACTTGATAAGGTCCTCTCGATTTCTTTCTGTCCCTTACATTATATTTTTTGTCAGTTGCTGTATTGGAGTTGAGAGATACAGAGCTTGAACGTGAGTGAGATGGTGATCTTTGTCTCTAGCACAGGGAGAGCGTCCTCCAAACTCTTTCTGTGAAACGATCAGAATTAATTAAACCGGTTGCAATGGCACAGGAGGCGATGGGCAGATTCGCCTCTTGTACATGACTATTTTTGGGCACGAATGAAAGATGTAAGATATCATAATCCTTGTGTTCAATACGTGTAACATCGAAACGTCACAAAGAGCTTCGCGGGTATTGGCTGTCAGGTGTAGTGACTGCTACGTTTGCACTTGCGATGGTTTTAGAAACGTAGTACCGCGTTTTAACCCGTGTGTGTGTGAGGAGAATCGATCGCAAGTGACAAAATCTTTAATTGTGAGATTTAGGAGTAAAGTAAAGAGTCTTAACACTTAAAAATGACGTCCATTTGTTCTAATTTTAGTACCGATTGAAGACTTTAATGCTCTGGAGGGCCATGTGACATGACCTGTTCTGAGTCCTCTCTCCTCGATTGCCTTGTCATAAAGTGTCACTAAAAGGGATTAAAGCCTGTATGAACTGAAGTGCCCCAATATTACGTCCATTTACTCCCACAAGCCAGGTGACCACGATTAGCGTGCAGGAGGTGATGTCGTCGGCGACCTGATGACTCAAAAGACAGCCATTTGGGCTTTCTGGGCGCTGGTCAATGGGTTAGATAGTGCCAGTGGTCAATATAATGAGGACCCTTCTCTCCCAGCCCCGACCACACACAAACCCCACCCATACCCCACACACAACCACATACACACACCACACGTGCCCCACACCCCCCCACCCCCACACACTACCAGGGTACCGAGGGGGCTCCAACCCCATTACTTCATAGTTGTGCATCAGCAGCGATCGTATTTCAGAAGGAAATGTGGAACTCGTTTTGAGTCGAATGTTTCGTATTTTTTTGTTTTGAAGCGACACGAAGAAAGCTCACGAAAAAGAATAATAGAGTACAGATAAAAAAAAAATACGCTTTGTTAGCTTTCTGATCAGCAGGAAGGCTACTTTGAGCCTGAAAGCGAATCCCTGCTCGGGGAGTTTTGTCAGGGCAGCTCGTATGTGTGAAGTTCAAAGGTAGCTTCTGATTCCGATTGACATCTTTGCTGCAAAAGAATTCAACGAAGTTAGAAATGTACCAGCTCAAACCTCTGCTTTATATCATGGGCCAGAGTGCTGGCATTACAATGATAATAACTTGCATATACACATTGCCTTTGGTTCGCATAAAAATAAACTTCTTGGAAGGCGTTTACTGTCGGACCCCTTATAATATGCCGTGATTTGGGGTCCATCGAATCAGATGTGGTGCGTTTACCCCCATTTACCCCATCACACCAGTTCTGGCCAGGCTCCCTGTCGTCGAACGGATCGATTTCAAGATAACTCACACTCGTTTCCAATCCTTTCATACCCTGGCACCTCCCGACCTCTCCAACCTGCTTACCCTCCAGCCCACAAGCCGTTGCCTCCACTCGATTGGCTCCGGCCTCCTGCTTGTCCCTCGTGCTCTCCATTCCACCATCGGTGGCCGGGCCTTCAGCCACTACGCCCAAAAAATCAGGAGTACTCTTGCTCTATCCCTCCACTTTGCCCCTTCCCCACCTTCAGATCGCCCCTAAAGACCTCTTCGATTGTGTCTACAGTCACCTCCCCTGCTCCCCCTGGCTCAGCATCAGGCTCCACCACTGTCAAGCACTCTGGGATGAATTTAGCGCTATATAAATGAAAGTTGTTGTTTATGTTTTTTTTCAAATGGCCACTGGTCAGCACTTCTAGGTCGGGTCACCTCTGACATCACTTCCTGGATGGTTTGGGCAAGAAGCCAGTCAGTCAGTGTCTGGAGTTTGCTGCAAATGTTGTTATTATTACAGCAAAAGTGGCAGCTAATCTGCCAAAGATCTTCTGCCCTCCACAGGCACACACGCAAACACACCTTCTGGCTCGCGCAAAGCAGACACAGATATTTCATGTCAACTCCAATCCGTTGTGAAAACATTTCATTGCGTTGCAATGCCTTGGTCCAAACTATTCTCAAATGCCGTGTGTGTGTTTACACAAAGTTCAAAGGACTTGCAATTCTGATCTTGAAGTGATTTCAGGCGCCTTTTCTTTACATTATTGGAAATTAGTTTAACATGTACAGTGGATCGGGCTGGTTTTAAGTAGGACATGATACATGTCTTGATTTGACATGGCCACTTACAATGGTAGCAGTAAAGCGTGTGGTATTCCTGAGCCTTATATAAATAGTTGTTCCCACTTCTCTGATGGCTACAAGGTACAAGTTACAGGACCCCCTCATTGTCAAGCTCACACGTGAATGAAGCTGGCTGCTTATATAACCTATTCCCTCTCCCAACCCCTTCTCTCTCTCTCTCACACACACACACGCACAGCCATCACAGAGACACAATGGGGTTGAAAAAGAGCTTTTTCGGGGAAAACATCATCGCAACCCCAAAAAGTCTTCTGTGGACGTAACGTAAAGTCTCGACCAGGGAACCCACACACATCACGTGAGACTCTGAGTCTGTGTGCGTTTGGGTCAGAGCTGAGTCCTAGTGACATCATTTGCAGTACTGTTTCCCTCCACGAACAGTGCCGTACCCTCCGTTCCTCTGCCGTACCCTCCGTTCCTCTGGCTCCGGTCTGCTCCACATCCCCCGCCCCAACCGCTCTACCATCGGTGGTCGGGCCTTCAGCCTCTCAACCCCCAGGCTCTGGAACTCCATCCCCAGTGCCTTCGCCGCTTCCTCCCTTTCCTCCTTCAAGGCCGGTCTCAAGACCTTTCTCTTTGACTGTACCTTCAGCTCCCCTCTCAACTCTCTAACCCCTCCTCGCTCCCTTCCTCCCCTCCCCCTGGCCATTACCCCCCTGCTCGTGTCCTGACCCAACTGTACAGCGCTTTGGGACGTCCTCCCAACGTGAAAGGCGCTCTATAAATGGAGTCTTGTTGTTGTTGTTGTTGAACAACTCTTTCTGTCGAGTTGCCCCTCTACTCGTACATTGCTCTTATTTGTGTGATAGGAATGGGCTTCGTTGAGTGGACCCATGTTCTCAGATAAGTGGTAGCTCAGGGAGTCATGTTAAATACCGAGCACTTGAATGAGCGCTCACCACATGAGCGTTGCGAGCCTTCAGAGACCAATGATTCCTAGTAGCTGAGCTATTTCGGAGCTTGTTACTCAGCATTGGGTCTGGTGCTTTGTTGGTCTGCTGCCCAGGTGCAGATCTATTCACATCCCTCAACACAAAGGGCTCCCAATGTTTGCTTTTACAGCGGTGGATAACAAAGCGGTGGAAGGTAGATGGTCTAGGCATCGTCCAAGCTGCTTATCTCCCAGATCCACAGAGCAAGGATGCTGGTCGGTTGTTAAAACGCCAAGAGCTGAGCAAAAAAAAAAGTTTCAAGAGCAACCGTGAATAGTGTGCTTCTGCCTTCCTCAGAAATAACAATCGTCTCTTGTGAGCAAAGGCCAGTTAGTGTAGGAGATTATTGTTCTGCTCCACAGCTGCAGTGTTGTTTGAGACATGACGAGTTCTCATTGCCTTGCACTGCATCGCTCGCACCAGAGGCGTGACGGACTAAACAAAGCGCTTGTTATTTTGACAAAAGTCGCTCTCTCTTATTGCCAACGAGTGCTTTGTACATCTAGAATCCCGAAGCTTCAGAGTTGTTTGAGGGATGATGGATTTTTATTCTGTGTGTATAATTCCGCTCACCTTCCTTTGTCACCATCTGCACTGACCATCAATATTGTCGTTAAAACCGTCAAAATCATTGATTGACTGATTGATGTTTCATTGCTATTTTGTTCGAAGAGTTGGAGGATATGCCCACCTTTTTACACCAATCGCCTACAGTTGGTAGCAAGTGCAGATATGTGCTTTGTAGATGTTATGACGTGCGAGGCGCTGCATGAAATGTAAAGGATTGTTAAATTGCAATGACTCTCGGAATCACCTGACATGAAACTCACTTTACTTACTGGCCATGAACACGTTGTGACCCCCTTTCCCCCCCCCCCCCCCCCTCTTTCCGTTGCACACGCACAAGCAGAGTGATTCAGAACGTGCTATAAATAAGCTGCGGGAATTGTCCTATTGAACTGCCGCTGTGATTGCCCAATAGTAGAGTGATAACTGTTGCACGCTGTACAGAGAATGCCACAGCCAAAGGCATCTGCGCTCGTTGTCATAGAAACCTCTTAGCCTCTCCTGAAGGGCTGATAGACCACATGAGAATTATCAACAGCGCTCGCTCTCAGTGTAACTTCAGGCACTGTGCTGTGCTGATCCTCAGTGAAACGGCGTGTCAGGATCGACACAACACCACCGCCACCACCACATTGCATTTGTATAGCGCCTTTCGCATCGGGAGGACGTCCCGAGGCGCTGGCGGAACGGGTCTTGAGCGATTTCGAAGCACATCGTTGGGGTATGATGCCGGCTCAGTCTCGGAGGCATTCGGCCGTGGAGTATTTGAGCAGCGTTATCCAGAGTCGCAGGCACTCGGCTTGCGATGCGCTGAGCAGAGTTTTGCAGAGACGCAGGAGCTCCGCCATAGAGAAGCTGTCGACTTCCACGCAACGGGTCATGTCCGCCGTGTCTTTGATCAGCAGCTCGGAGCCTCAGACCTGCCTGGCACCGAGGAGAAGTAAATGCTTTTCAGTGAGACTCTGCGATCGTGTCGTGCAGGATGTAAAGTATATTTCACAATGTCTGACCGGTCTCGGGCAGGTGTCATAACTTTATATCCTAGTTAAACACCTGTTGTCTTGAGTTCCGCTTCTACCCACGTTTCTGTGCTAACTGCACAGGAGTGACACCTGTATAACTTGTGATTATTTTATTTTTTCCTGTTGAAATCGTAGGCTTTGCCTGATTAAGCGCTCCGAGCTGCCGCCCGGCGTGAAGGGGGCTATATAAATGCAAGTTGTTGTTGATCGCTTGCCTGTACGTTTCTTTCAGGCAGTATGCGACGTCCGACAGCCAAATACACCAAAGTAGGGGAACGTCTGCGTCATGTTATCCCCAGTCATATGCAGTGCTCAATGGCATGCGGGGGACGTGCTTGCAAGTACGAGAATCCATCACGATGGAGTGAAGAAGAACAAGCTGTGAAAGGGCTTTACTCCTCATGGTATGGTTAATTGATTGTTAGAAACCGTGAGAAGACTGATGTGTGCAGCCCTCAGAATCAATCGGATGACAAAGCCTTAATTGTAGTTCTGGGATATATATATATAAAAAAATGAGTCACCGAAGTGCAGTTTATTTAAATACACACGGAATTCTCGTTGACGATAATAACTTGGAAATAATTGACAGTTAACCTTTGCCAAACACTGTATTTTGTGAAGCTGAAAATGCTCTTTGCTTTTAACAGCCTCATTAATTGCCTTCGGACAATTGAAACCTATTGGTCCAATCCCAGCCCTGTGATTTCTTCCGCTTCGCTAATAATTCCTCATTATTACGCGGCGCGCAATTGTTCCTGTCCACCTTCTGTTTATTCTGTAGGCGATCAAACAAGCTATTGAACTAACTTTTTAATCCCACTTTGTCACCTTTTCTGCCACATCTGTGGGGGACTTTTAGACATCTCTTCTCACCCCCCCCCCCATTTGAAAGACATTGTATGAATATAAATTATTGTTTTACTATTTTTTTTAATAAAAGGACTGTGGTAGATAAATGCAGTGTAGACTAATTGGCACGACTTTCACTTGTGGCAGCAATAATGTCGCTTTTCTGCTCCACAATTTTGAAAAGCTGTGTTACTCAGTGACATCCCAAAGCATTTCTAAGCAGCAGACTTCCTTGCAACTCAGAGTCTCGTATCACCTCGGGAACACAACACAACTGCGCTGGAACATATTGGATTAAGTTGAGATCAGTTGAGATCACCGAAATATCATTCTGGTGTTTTCTTTTAAGGAGCTTTTGCAAACTGTATTTCTGCTCAATTTCACATGCTTTAACCGCGATTCTCCTTCTTCATTTCACTCCAGATCTGGAGACTGAACAATTCATGTGTGGCTCATACCAAAGCTGCGTAGATCTCGCCCACCGTTCCCTGCTCAGTACTAACTCATCTTGTCAGATTTTCTCAAATGGAGAAAAAAAATTAGCTCTTTTATTCTCTCTCTCCCACACACGCAGCAAAAAGCAGCTTGCCTGATGCTGTGATGGGAGGATAATGGTGGGTGTTCTGAAAGGATGAGATCGGCTAAGCCGAAAGGTCTTTATCCTAACCCATCTTGTGAAAACGTGCATGGTCCATTATGGTGTTCGCATCATGTTGTAACCTCAGTGGATGTTTTTTACGTGATTGGGGAGAGAAGGAAACCTCAGCCTTTGGTCCTTGGCCCTAGTGATTGTTTTCCCCATCCCCCCCTTGGCAAATAGGGGAAAGAGTCCTGTAGTGTAGTGGTTATAGCACTCACCTCACAAGCGAGAAGACCCGGGTTCAGTTCTCATGCAGGGCGAAACCTTAGGCAAGTTTGCTTACTCCACACGCCTCTGTTTACCCAGCAGTAAGTAGGAACCCGGTTGTTAATTGATTGGCGGATTGCTTTCCAGAAGTAATAATCCCTCCAAAAAATAACAATAATTTGCTTATTCAATCCTCGAATGTTTGAGGGACACTAATGTGAGCAATTGGCTGCCACGTTTCGGCCACAAAATATTTGAGACGCCTCGAAGATGTGATATCAAATGCAAGGATTATTATTATTATTATTATTAGCAAATAAGGTATCAATCACTGGGTAGCTCCCAGCAACTTGTAGAGCAGGTCTTTCATTCAAAGAATGAGAATTTCTTTGTGAAGAAATGTGAACACGATCAGTCTGAAAGTGAATGAGTTTAATTAACGTTGCTAACGGGATCCAAGTCTGCGACATATGCTTAACAATTTACTCGCTTTCTTCTTCCCGCAGGATAACGGACAATATATTGGGCATGGCGCGCCCCTCTAGTGAGATTATTGAAAAATACAACATTATCGAACAGTTCAAAAGGTACTTTAAACAAAACACTCCGAGACACGACCCTGCTTGAGAGGCGCTTTATAAATGCAAGTTACAAGCTGTTGTTGTTGTAAACTGGCATACATGGGGTAAAATTCACAGTGCTCCTTAACCTGGTTCGTGCTCTAACTAAGATAAGGAATGCGCGGAGGAACACCGCAAATTTTGTTGCTTAAGGTAATAAAGATTAAAGGATCGTTGGGAAATTTCACGGGGTGGGGAGTGGGTGGGTGAATGGAACTCCGACACAGAATCTTTGAAGTGCGTCTGAAAAACAGGCACGGACTGGACCTCGGTTAAACGTGTGATCCGATGGATGTCACCTCTGACAATCGGTCGCTCTTCCCCAGCACTGCGCTGGAGTGTGAGCCTGTGGTAGACTCTGTGCTCAGGGCCCAGATGTTTAAACTGGTGACACGGAGAGGGAAACTCTATGCCCCTCACTCCTCCAGTCTGCTGGGCGTGCTGACAGAACCAAACTTCACATCATAAATGATCAGCATTCCGCTATAAACTGAGCGGTGCGGAGAGCAGAGGGATTTTTTTAATATATATATATATATATATATAGGACTTGCTTCAGAGTGACTGAACAATAAGACCGTTTGTGTCCAAGGTCATAAATCCCCTGGAGCACACATAGCAGCAACACAAACACCCGTTCCCACCCACCCCTGTTCCCCCCCCCTCCCCACCACCCAAAATTGTTAATAATGCGTGGCTTTAAAATAAAACAAAAAAAATACACTTTTTTTAAAAAAAAGATGTACATTTTTCTGAAAATGTTAACTGCAATTTTCCTCTGAACCCCCCCAAAAAAAAAAACTGTTTTCATTTTGTCACAAGCATAATTTGGAGCGCTCGTGTTTTAATTGCTGTGGGGGAGATTTTCTTTTAATCAATTATTTTATCGCATTAGGATAATGCGCAATTTGGATCTCAGCACTGTTAAAGTAATGACTCAGCGATGCCACGTCTAGCTATTGGACTCATGCGTTTTAGGAATCGAGCTCTCCGAGATGTTGCCCCACGTGATGGGCACTGAGTAAACACAAGTTGTTGTTGTCGTATCAATTCACGCCTGCCTCCTGCTTTCGATGTTCCAGGCACGGCGTAAAGACTGTCATTAACCTTCAGCGTCCTGGGGAGCACGCAAGCTGCGGAAACCCCTTGGAGCAGGAGAGCGGATTCACCTACCTCCCCGAGGTTTTCATGGAAGCTGGAAGTGAGTCCCCTGTGTGATCCCATCTCATTAGCAGGTCCCCACTGGCTTTGTGGTCTGTGATGGTCCAGAGCGCCAGGCCAAGTAATCCCCTCTCAGTGGCGGCTTAGTGAAATGGGTCGATAATGGCAATTAGGAGGCTTAGAAAGCTGGGCCCGAAACGTGAAACCGCACCATATCTGGGAACCTTAACGCTTTAAATAGCAGCTTTTCGACAACAGAATGCTAAATGAAATCACCCTCTCACAGACGATTTCAAGAAAAATTGGTGCATTTCTGGTTCCTACGAATGTTAACTTTGTTTTACGATGGCCTCTGTTACTCCATCTGAGTTTGTTGCAGACAGTATTGATAATAATCCTTACGTATTGTACAGCGCCTTGCACTGTGAAACAAAACGCTTCACAGGATATATTGGAAAGTGTTGTGTAGTGACTGTGTTTTGTGGGTGAGTAAGATTGGGTTGAGTTTGGGATTAATTGACCCCCCCCCCCCCCCGCAAAGTGCATGTTTTTACTTGTTAATCAAATCTGCCCTCAGATTATTTTTATAACTTCGGGTGGAAGGACTATGGAGTGGCTTCTCTCACCACCATCCTAGACATGGTCAAGGTGGTAGCTTTCGCTCTACAGGAGGGGAGAGTGGCCATTCACTGCCACGCCGGCCTGGGGAGAACAGGTGAGCGAGCGAGCGACAAAACTATTATTATCATTAAAACCCTGCTTTCCTTTCTTCCATTATTTTCTGTAGTGTTTTTGTGCTGTTTCTCTCCCTCGCCTGCCTCCGACTTATCAGAGGTTCGAAATGGCACCCGTTCTTACACTGTGAGACCTTCCTGTCTTTAACAACGCTCTGAGTTGCTACCCTACGTGAAGGGCACGGCATAGATATAAGATTTGGTTGTCGTTTTACAACTGAAGGCCACACAGAATTGTAAAAGTTCTTCACCCACAGTCTTGAGTTGGAAGACATTTTCCCGCAGATCTGATTGAAGACCGACCGGATTTAAGAGGTTTTCACAATTCTGTGCCACCTTAATTGTTTTGGGACAAAAGGATCACTCACTAACTCACTCACTCACTCACTGATCCTCTGGACATCTAACTACAGTTAAACACTTGTAACAAATACAATCAAGTAACTTCTGAATACAATCATCATCATTCTTGCACACGTTTCAGTTGTTGGTCAGTTTAATGGGAGGTTAACAGGACTTTGTGGACATCCCTGTACAAGTGGACGATACAGGCAGTGAGGAACGACTAGATTCAAGAGCGATGCTTCTGACAATACCGCTCCACCATTCTCTCTCCCCGCGCCCCCCACCCCCCCACCCCCCGGAAACTTGCTGGAATGTTAGCCTGGTCTATGTATTGCTGTAAAAGTTACACGTGCCCTGAGCTGGCTGAGCACGCGTAGCTCTTTCTGTTGGCACGTTGGCAGCTGGCTCATGCTATTGATGTGGAGCGTTCGTGTCTGTCCATCGGAACAGTTCAAAGACTGACCCCGGCTGGTTCCAGACCAATATCCCAACTGTTGATCTCATCAATCCTCACAGGGCCTAAGAAATTGTCACAACATTTCAGTCACAAGGACCTGCTCCTTGACAGCCAGCCCGGGCTTCAGAGCAAATCAATCAGCTTGTGATGGTCTGGTCTCCTTGCCCAGGAATAGTGCTGTATTCCATCAGTGCCCAGCGTGCAGTCACAGCTGTAGCCCTTGACATTTCTCGAGCTTTTCAAGAGTGACAGACACATGACGCGTTGCTTTCAGCACTCAGAAGATCAAGTCGATATTTCTGTCGCGAAACGTGGACTGAGAGACCGGCCACCCAACTCCATTCTGTGACTGTGCAAAGCTCTACTTGGTTACAAGCATTTGTCTCCGTGCCTTGGTGTTTGTCTGGACTCTCCTGTGGGCTGGCGAGTGCTATTGATGGAGCCAAAGTACTGACTGAAGAGTCACAATCCTCAGAAAGTGTTGCAGCCATTGTCAACGAAGAGCTTCATAGAGCTGACAATCACCCAATGTTGAAATACTATACCCCATCGTGTCAGGGTCCAGAGCAAACCCATACCTGTCTCCTGCCTCTCGGACAGTCCAAAGCCTGGTAGCTCAGAGGATCAATGAAGGCAGCCAACTCCATGTCAAAATCCAACTTCTACAAGACTAGAAGTCACCACCAATATATACCTGAAACTGAATAACCATTTTTTAAACTGACTTCATTAAAGGAGGAGGGAAAGGGAGGTGATGATCTTAAAACAGTGATGAACCTAACCTGGGGAGGGGGAAATACATAACAGCTGCATACTCACACTCAATGAAATAAACAGTGTCATTACAAAGTGCTATTGAAACAAAAGCAAGGCAATTAGTGTGGAGTATATATGTATATACAGTTTAATTGTTGTGTATATATGTAACCATTTCCTTTCTTAAGTGTAGCTCATTAATCAGGATTGATGAGTGAGAAGATTATACTGCTTTTGAAAGGGATAGAACCATAGCCTTCACAGCATCAATCCAGCGCTTAAGCCCATTGAAACTGTGTTGTTGCTCGTTCCCCAACTTTGACATTTAGATGAAATGATGAAAATACTTGTGTAAAAAAGAGAATTTGGTGCATGCGAGAGGGACGTAATGATAATCCTTGGATTTGCTATAGCGCCTTTCATGTCAGGAAGATGTCTCAGAGTGTTTTACAGGATGTACTACGGTGTGAGTATTTTGTGGGTGAACTTATCGAAGTGAGTTATATAAGACAGGAATACAATCAGTGGGTTCAGATCCTATGACATGAGCAAGTCTAGAGTTCCTGAACATGTCTTTTACGATGACTGTTTGTGGGACATTGCTGTGAGTAATTGGCTTGCCACGTTTCTCCCATAGATAAAGAGTCGATTTACTTTACAGTATATTTTGTGAAGCGCTTTGAGACGTCTCAACGACGTGATAAGGCGCTGTATCAAATGCAAGGATTATTATTTATTATTATTATTGAATAACTGGGACTGGGTGCAGTTTTCCACGAAACTCAATACAGAGGGCACGTAACCAAAGGACATCGTTTTTTTTCTCGGGCACCTCTTTTAGCTCTTGTAGTTCACAGAATGAAAACCTCTTGTGTTTCCTCAGGAGTCTTGGTGGCCTGTTACTTGGTTTTCGCCACCAGAATGAGTGCAGACCAGGCCATCTTGTTTGTCCGAGCCAAGAGACCCAACGCTATCCAGACACGCGGGCAACTGCTGTGTGTGAGGGAGTTTGCCCAGTTTCTGACTCCCTTGCGTAACGTCTTTGCCTGCAGTGACCCCCGTGCCCACCCCGTCACCATCGGCCAGTACCTGATCCGCCAGCGCCACCTCCTGCACGGCTACGAAGCCCGGCAGCTCAAATACGTGCCAAAGATCGTCCACCTGGTTTGCAAACTGCTGCTGGACTTCGCCGAGAACAAGCAGGTGATCGAGGAGGAGATCGTTGACATCCCCGATCTGTCGGCGGAGATCGAGAAGACCGTCTCCCAACTGGCCATAATCCAGCTAGATCAGGAACTGGACGGGCGACGCTTTGACATGGACGATCAGAGCGCGGCCCAGTTCGTCGCCGATGACTCTGTGCTGGTCAGTGAGCAGGAATTCCACCCGCTTTGGAAACACCGTAACGAGGACAGCCTTCGGTCTCTGTCCCACGTGAAGAAGCGTCTGTGCTACAGCGAGTCGGACCTGCACAAAGCTGAGCTCTTCCTGGACCAAAGCGAAACCCCTCCGACCGCAGTCCCCCGCGGCCCCTTCCCCAACAACCTCAGCCAACACAGCTTGCCTCAGCTCAACCTCAGGCACTTGGGTGCTGTGTCGGTGAATCGGGCCGCCATGAGGGTCCCGGAGCTTTGTCTTATTAAACACAGCCCATCTGTCATCTCCAAGTCCAGCTTCTGGGAGCAACAGAGGTCCAGCTGCAAGAACGAGGAGGGAGCAGGTTCGCCTCTCTTCCTGAGGAGGAAGCTGCCAAAGGATGTGCAGAGAAAGCTCTCCCTGAAGTCGTCCACTACAGCCGCGGCGCTGAAATCCCTGATCAGGGAGACGCCCAAAATGATCAGCGTCCCGTCTCCCGGCGCCAGGGAGATCGGAAAGGAAGAGCTGGACGCGACCACGGCTTGCAGCAGTCGCACGGAGGACAACGTTCAACATAACCTGTTCAGTTTCTCTCTGTACCGGGGACCTGGAGACAGAGCCCCGGGCAAAACCCACAGTAAAATGTTTCACATTGGGGAAGAGGAGGCCACGAGCAACTGGTTGCTGGAGGACATCCCGTGCATCATGATCCACTCGGAGCTGAGCGTTGAAAGGAGGAGGTCGGTGGCAGCCAAGGCACTGGCGTTTTGCACGGACTTTGACAGAGAAGTCAAGGACAAAGTGGAGATGTGGCAGGTGAGCTGTTTATCCCTTTTTTGCCCAGCCGGGTGTCTGACCCGTGGGAAACCCATCACTGTTGCTTAAGAGCATCCAGACTAAGCTGAGAATTCCATGCATCCCACCTACACGTGGAAATCCCAAAGATACATTGGTGGAATGGAATGCGTTCTCTCTCCCTCCCTGGAGGGACACATCCTACTTCCCTGGTTCCGGAAAGTATTAGGCCCAGGTCGGCAAGAGCCAAGGCGACATGAAAGGCACTATACAAATGTAATTTTGTTGTTGTTGTTGGGGAGCCCAGAGTGTGCGTTGGGGTAACTGCTGGAGTCTAACCAGCTAAAACCACATAGCTTGCCATTGAGAGCACCTTCTGGCAAGCTTTCCTGATGCTTGTCCAGCTTGGACCACCCTACCCGTTAGGTTCTGTAGCCTCTGGAATTAATTTAGTGACCCTCTCCTGTGCTCCCTCACTAATCGCTGCACATTTATCAAGTGTACTCATTTCCAACAACAACAACTTGGAGCTTATGTAGTGCCTTCCACGTAGGAGAGAGTCTTGAAGTGTTTCGCTCGGATGGGGTGTGGTGTGTATTTGTGTGTGGTGGGGGTGGGTGGGTGGGGGGGGGTGTGAGTGGAAGGAAAGCGTCTGAAGACACGGGCAAAGAGGTAGGTTTTTAGGTAGGTTTAAGAAGTGGTTTGGTGGCAAACCTGGAGGCAGTATGTGGTGACCTGAGTGAAAGGATTTTGGGGAGGACAGAGTATCAGAATGGGCGGAGGATGGAGGGGGTGGGGGGAAGATGATGGTTATTTAATGGGGTATCAGAGTGTTGCCCCTCTTTTCTGACGACTTTGAGGAGCTGCTGGAGCTGAATTGGCAGGAACATCTGCAATGTTTTACGTTCCTTTCTGAACCTCCAGAGTTCAGCCTCAGTATTCTTGCCGTGGCTTTGAACTCCAAAGGGATCCGACAAGAAGCAGTTTGAGAACCAGCGTCCTGTTTTCCATCAATTATTCACGCACTCTTCTCAGGGTTCCACAGCCCGTGTTTACACAGTTTGACAAATGTTTTGACAAGCTGAAGCCTTTCGCATTTAAGGGCTGAATTATTTTGAATTGAACATATTTCGGAATAGTTTCGCGGTCAGTCTGAAACAAATTATCTTTTAACTCTTTCGCGAAGGAGGTGGGGCATCAAGCTTTTGTCGAAGAGCTCTCGCTGAAGTTATTGGTCTTTAACTTTCTGCTGGTTTCAGTGACTTAAAACTGCCATCTGCTGCTGTGTTCATTAAAGAACACCCTACAGCGCTGCTCTGTCTTTTTGATGGTCAGTCACAAAGGGAACTAAAGGGGAGGTTAGGAAAAAAAGTCTTTACCCAAGAATGGGTGGGATTGGCCACCGCACACCACAGTTGAAGCAGAGCTCATTGATTCTTTTAAATGGGAATTGCAATTAATTTTTTTTATTAAGAGGACTATTAAAAGAACAAATGGTGGGGGGGGGAGGGGATGGAAGATGTGAGTGGAGAATGGGATTGCTTCAAATGACTTATGTAGAGAAAACGCACACCCAACACATTGTGGACGCAAGCTGTAGTTAGCTGCGTGTTATTAAAAAGACTGAATACTTTCAGCAACTGAAGAAGAGTGTGGCTGGGTTATGTGTAACTGTCTGTTGATCTTGGTTTTGCTTTAGCGGGAGCTGAACAGCAGAGAAGGGACATGGGAGCGGATCTGCTCGGAGAAGAATCCTTACGTCTTGAGCAGCCTGATGTGGTCCTGGCTGGAGCAGTTAAAAGAGCCGGTCATAAGTAAGGACGATGTGGATGCCTTAGCACGTAAATATATGGATCCCTGCAATGCATTTTACTCACTGGAAAAGGTATTCTTGACCAGTTTACTATTCTAGACCAGATTGTTGGAAAATTAACATGTATCCATGATATGAATCATTGATCAATAATGGTTGTAGCCATGATATTCTACATTGTCTCGTTGTTTTAACCAGAGCCAACATCAGACACTGACCTGCATCCTGGATTGTGTGGCCAATTTACATGAGCTGCTGTTCGATGTGGAAAACGCTATTCTTACTCGAGCGATTCGAGCTTTCACCAAGGCAAGTATCGGGAATAAATCAGCCAGGAAGATTCTGGATCGTTTGGCTCAAATAAAACGTGGGTGTTTTCCTTAATATTCTGAACCCAGCCAACGTTCTCCCCACAACTAAATTTCCTCAAGATTAATTGGCCATTTGTCTCACCACCGTTTGTGGTGCCACATTTAATAATAATAATACTTACATTTGATATCCCGCTGTATCACGTCATTGAGATGTCACAAAGCGCTTTGCACAGTATATTGTAAAGTGGAGTGAATGTGTATTTTGTGTGTGAAATACGGCAGCCAGTTGCATACAGCTTGCAAATTCAAACTTGATATGTAAGCAAGTGAGTGTCTTATCAATCACTCACTTGCCTACATATCAGTCACTACACTCCAAATCAACTTATTGTGAGGAGAGTCGGGAGATCTGTTTTGACCGTGCTCACCAATTGTCTGGGTGGAAGATTACAGTAAGGATTAATGGGATATGCAGTTGACTGAACGATTTAAGTAACTTTAGATAGTAAACCATTTGTTCTAAGGGGTGAAACATTGGCAAATGTCTCTGGTGTGTTTTCTGTTTCCAGGTCAGCTTTGATGCCATCGAAGGTCCTATCGTTTACAACACACTCAAGACAATATTGAAGCCAATCTTGGAAGCGAAACAAGTAAAACTGACAAACTCTGAAGAGCAGAGCAATTGCCTAGAACATTTAACTTTACAGACCGACTGAGCAAAAGCTATATTTTCCCCTTCTGTCCCTTCTTCTCATCCCATTCCGTAGAAGACCAGAGGCTCCAGTGAGGTATTGGACGGGCTCTATGTTGTAGAGTGAGGTACTAGAATTAGATAGTTCAAAACTGGAGTCAATTTCTGTATCAAGCACTTTTCAGTTTATGGATGATGTACAAGTTGTACAAAAGCATTGAGTTAGTCTTAAGAGAGAAAGAGGCCCGAAATGCATCAAGGTTAGAGCCGTTAAAATTGCTGACCTAAAATGTAAGATTGTGCAGAATTTTAGAAATTTTTAAAAAATCAGTCTTAAAATAACCCATGCATTTAATTCCAAAGAATTGTCTCAAAGTGATACACAGGGAATAGCTGTGAAGTGCAGTCACTGTAAGCAAATGGGTCAGTCAATTTGGGCAGAGCAAAGTCACACAAACAGCCGCAAAGTGACTGGACACATTTATCTGGAGGATTGTTGGCCAGGACAGCGGGAAAAACTCCCATCTCTCATCCTGAACTCTTAAGTATTGCGGAAAACCAGCTTCCAAATTTAGACTGGATTTGAAAATTTTCCCCAATCCTGTGCAATCGTACATTCTTAACTTTGAAGACAATGGCCTTAAGGCTGGAACTTTGGACCTAAGTTATGTCTAGAAAAACACTTTGATGTTGTCAGTTCCTCATTAAGTACCCTCTGTGTTCCAGTGGTTAGCTGAGATGTATATTTGCTTAAAAACTGCCAGAATTTGAAGTGCCATATTAATGTGGTAAGATGCGTCATTTTCGGTAACTTTGTGTTTACAATAATATGGCAGTGTGCTATATTGGAGGTCCGTTTTAATTTGTAAAATATTCGTCTATTTTCTTTCCACGTCAAGTGTTGACTTTCTGTGTCGAGTGCAATAACCAAATGTTGAGGTAGAGAAATTAAAATTGAAGGAAACACTTATGAGGAAGCTCTTAAAACCTAGGCCATTTTTAAGTTTTTTTATATAAAGGGCATTTCCCATTAACTGTAATTTTATTGCAATATTTTGGGGTAGAATTTACAACGTTCCTTCACTTGTTCCAGCGTTAATTAGCACAAGGACTGAGTTAAGGGACACCTGTAGATTTGTACCTTATTCAGTGCTGGTGTTAACAACAAATTACATTTCTATAGCGTCTTTCATGTCAGGAGGACGTCTCAAGGTACTGGAGAGTCAGGGATTTGGACCCGAGCTGGGGGTTGGATGTAAGAGGGGTGGAGGGCAGGGAGGTAAGGGTAGTAGGGTGACCGATGGCAACACAGAGGCAAGTGAGGAGACTGTACACTTCAGCGCTGAATAAGGATCAAATTTACGAGTTTGTTGCACTGATTAACATGAGGAACAGATTAAGGAACAGCCGCAAATGTTACCTCTTGTTCGTTACCCGTTTAAATTTCAGCAAAGTTGATGCCATTGAGACATTAAGACATTTTTAAAAATATATTTAGAATATATTTGTGTTACAGGCGGTGGTACTGAGCTCTTTATCTCTGCATCACTGGGACCAAGTAAGACAGTATGTCTGTCAAGGCATTGCTCGTTGGAGTTAAAGTTAATATAAAGGTTTAAACCACTCGCGCACAAGATGTTCTTGCATACATACAGTGGAAACCTGTTTTGTGCAATAGCTTAGGCCAAATGAAAAAACAGAGCCCGTCAAGTGTTTAAAGATAAACGATTGATACCCAGAATTTCAGGACAAGTCGTCACTCAGTTAACATATTCGATCTTTTGAGTTTGCATCTGTGTATTAAATTCCTCGGAGTCATGATCATTTCCAACTATTTTTCTTGTTCAAAGTAAATAAACCCATCTTTTCTGTGGGGTAAAACTTGTCGCGTTTGATAATTAACCGCGGGGTAAATTAATGTTGCCTTTCTGGTATTGAATACCCCTACATTTCGCTCAATGTTTGTGGCTCTTTGTTACTGTAATTATGGGTATTTAATGCAAATGCATTTGTTTTTCCTTTTGGCGTAGGGTTCGTAGTGTATTTTATAGAAGATGATGGTTGCTGATAACTTAAAGCTGATAAGTATTTTGTTGCAAGAACACTATGATATAAAATATCAGATTATTGAATTTTGTTGGACGTGAATTTTTTTTAAAGAGTCATAAATGACTTAAGTAGATCTTACGCATGAATAGAATTACAGTATCTGGACACGATAAATGTTTGTGTTGTGTATTCCATGTACAAACCATTGTTTCTAAATTAAAAAGTGTGCAAATATTTTATTGAATTTCAATGTGGACTGTTATCCGTGAAGTCATTTTTGTTCCCAACTCGAAATGGTCTTCGGGACGTATTAAATTCAAACGATAGAAATAGCATGTTTAAATAACAATGCACATGTCTTTGTAAGCAAATTGTCAGCAGGAATTATTTGAGACACGTGTGCTTTGGTGATTGTGAGCCACACGGACCGTTCATCAGCTACATTTTGCTCGTGGCTCTGCGGTTTGATAACGCTGGTCTAGGCTAAAGGTGTCATCCTTCGGGTGAGACTCTAAACCGTTTTTAATTCAAGTACAGAATGTGTCATTCAACAGCCCATGACCTGATTGGAAAAGAGAAGGGAGTTTCTGCCAGTGTCCTGGCCAACGATTCTGCAAATAAATTTGGCAATCACTTCACGGCGGTTGGTGGGACCTTGCTGTTCGGCTACTCCGTGCAATCATTCTAAGTTCCAAGTCAATCACTTTTATAAAAAAAAATGACATCTTAATTTATGCCAAATCCTGGCTTCAGGATCTGTGCGACTCTTAAGGAAGGGTTTCCTGTAACCAGTGGTAACCAATTAAAAGGGTTAATTAAGTTCAGGGTGACTGATGCTGTCTTCCAAACACAGGAAGCAAAAATCAGACCTTGGGTCAAGCCGAGAAACATCAGGAAAATTAGACATCTGGTGCGTTGGTTTGGACAAAGGTTTCCAAGTTGGCATCGGCCTCAGCAGAGACGCCTGAGAAGCGGCCATCTTCGAATGGCCTCCTTTTGTGCTGTGTATTTTTATGTCTCGTCCACCCAAACCAAACGCCAGAAACTGAGCTCGCGGTAACGGATCGGTCAAGGCAACAACAACCGAAACACAACAACAGCGGCCGCCTCTCGCGCGGGATAACGCCCGGCGGCACTTTCAAAAGACGAGATGGTAACCCTGGGGCAGTGGTCGGAAGGGGCCGAAGGGCTCTCTCTCGCGCTCTCCCCCTGTAACGCTGAGCTCCCTGCGATGCCGCACAAATGTGGAACGTTCTCCCGGAGCATCGCCGCTCGGGGCGCATCGCTCTCAAGCGCGGCCCCCGCTCGGGGCGCATCGAGTCCTGTAGCTCAGTGGTTAGAGCACTCGCTTTGTGAGCGAGAGACCTGAGTTCAATTCCAGGCAGAGGGCCAAACCTCGGGCAAGTTTCCTTACTCCACACAGAGCCTAATAATAATCCCTCCAAAACCAAAAACAGTAATAAATTGGTCATTTTCAATCTACAACTGTTTGTGGGACATTGCTGTGCGCAATTGGCTGCCGCGTTCGCCCACAAATATACAGTCAATTCACTTTACAGTGTGTTCTGTGAAGCGCTTTGGGACGTCCTCCCGACGTGAAAAGCGCTATATCAAATGCAAGGATTATTATTATTATTATTATTATTATCGCTCTCAAGCGCGGCCCCCGCTCGCGGCGCATCGCTGCACGATGCTCTCGCTGCATTACTGTCGGCGGGCGGCGCTCAACATGCAGTGATTTTCATGCAAGGCTGCCAGGTGTGCACTGCCCCCCCCACACCCCCCTCCTCCCCCCACACCCCCTCCCCCGCCCACTGCATTGCTGCTCTGCGCGCAACGCTCCCCAATGCAGCCTCGCCGTCTGCGGAGCGCGAGGGTGTGAGGAAGGCCGCAGCTCTTCACTCAAATCCCCCAACAGCCCCACACACACACCCACACCCACACCCACCCACAAGGGGAAGCCCGACTCCCTCCCTCCCTCCCTCATGCGGAGCCAACTGGACTGCTCCGGGGGGCGAGAGAGAGAGAGAGAGAGCGACCACAGGGGCGCGCGGGCGGGAGCCCGAGGCCTGGGCCGAGCGGCAGACAGGCTCCGCGCGCGCGCGCACTCACACACACACACACACTCGCGCACGCGCGCTGCCGCCAACCCAAACATGGGGGGGACGGCGGAAGTCCCCGCCCTCACCCCGCCTCCCGCCGTCACCCATTGGCTGTCGGCCCGCCAGCCCGGCTCCTGATTGGGCGGCGGCCCCCGTCGGTCAGTGTGCCGGTGCCGTCACTTCCGGTTGGCGGTAAGGCGGCGGCGATGGAGGAGCGCCTCGGCCCTGAGGTGGAGCCGCCGCTTTTCTCCTCCTCCTCCTCCTCCCGCCGCCGCCGCCGCCGGGACTCTCGTCGCTTCCTCAGCTCAGCCCCGCATGCGGGAGGGGAGGGGGCGGTTACAGAGGGGAACTTTGTGACCCTCTCCTCTCGGATGCTGCTGAGGTAATGGCAGTGGGAGGTGAGTGGGAATGTGGCTCTCTCCCTCCCTCTCTCCCCCGCCCCCGCCACCCCCCCACCCCTTCCCCCCTCTCTCCCCCCTCTCTCCCCCACCCCTTCCCCCCCTCTCTCCCCCCTCTCCCCTCCACCCCTTCCCCCAACCCTTCCCCCCACTCTCAACCCCCCACCCCACCCCTTCCCCCCCCCTCTCCCCCCACCCCTCCCCCTCTCTCCCCCTCTCCCCCCCACCCCTCCCCCCCTCTCTCCCCCCTCTCCCCCCCACCCCTTCCCCCCCTCTCTCCCCCCTCTCCCCCCCACCCCTTCCCCCCTCTCTCCCCCCTCCCCCTCCCACCCCTTCCCCCCTCTCTCCCCCCCACCCCTTCCCCCCTCTCTCCCCCCACCCTTCCCCCCCTCTCTCTCCTCTCTCCCTCCCCATCCTCCCTCTGTCTTTGTATTTTATAGTTATACACACACACACATATCTATATATATATGTGTATATATATATATGTGTATAAAAGGTACAACTCACAAGGTTATTTGGCTGCAGTGGCTTGAGCGGAATGGGGGTGAGAGGGACAAGGGCTCCAAATGTTTTTAATATATAAAAAAACAGTAAAAATGTGTTTTTTTTATGTGTACTACATGTATCGAGAGAGAGAGAGGGAGATGTACTATGATATGTGCGATTGTGTGAAATATTCCAAGTTGCCGAGCAAATTGGGTGAAGGTCATACGATTGGGTAAGCATTTTTGATTTCTCTCTCTCTCTCTCTCTCTCTCTTTCTGCCCCAGAGAGAGACGGGGTGGTGGGGATTGGGAACTGGCTGCCAGGAGTCGGGATTGAAGTGGTAAGCATCGGGGTATTGAAGAAGGCAGTGTGGTACGTACGTGAGAAAGATGGGTGGAGGGGGAATGGAGGCTCGTGTGAGGTGTAAGAACCGTCAAGGACTGGTTGGGCCGAATGGCCTACTTTCAATGCTGTATCACTGCGTAACATCCGTTGGGAGAGCAAGTGGGTGTCCACTGAGTCACCCTGTCTCCACTCAATTTATCTGCTGTCTGCCTCTCTTCTCTCCTTTCTGTTCTCTTCCCACCCACTGCCACCCTCATTTGACAGGAGTACAAATCCGGGTCAAGATGTAGTAGTTCCAGTTGGTGCCCGTTGTGATTCGTCTCCCTCATCAGAAGCAGAACTGCTCCATATGCCTGGTGGAATTCTTCCAGCCACACGTTATTAAGGTATGCTTCGGTCAACTGTCCCAAAAGTGGTGGTTTAAACCTCCCAGAGAAGCAAGTGAAGGCATTCTTCAGGGTTTGATGATGAAATAATATGGCGAAATGACTACTTACCTTTTACCTCTCTACTCTACTGAGATGACACGTGGTACAAGTTGGAACAATGGTGAATTGTTCATTATAATAGTAATAATTCTTGCATTTGAAAAAAGAGCCTTTCACATCTGGAGGCTGTTTCGATGCGCTTCACAGGGTTTTACTGTGTGTTTTGTAGGTGAACGCGGCAGACAATTTGTCGGCAATGTTGCACAAACAGCCATGAAGTGAATGATCAAGTGAATTGCGTTAGAGTATGTTTGTCAAAGTATATACACACACATATCAGCACTACTTTGGGAAATGTAATTAGTAACGCTTTGTTTTTGAATGAGTGTGATCATACTG